TTCTGCATACCATAAGTCATGTATTATTGCACAATACCGAAGCTATGACGTAAATTTCAAAACTTTAACCTCGTTCATCCCTTTAATAGTTGTTGGCAGCGATGGAAATCAGCCTTACCGACAATATCAATATCTCGCGCGATGCTGTCGATCTTCAATGCTCGATTAAAAACAAATGCCTTCATGTTCAATTGGTCGCCCAATCCCTGCGGTCTTGAATTAAAATAAGAATGAACTCGAGTTTTCTACCTTGAGGTGGCTCCTACCCCCCCCCCTCCCCCCACCGCAATAGGCAAACAACTTGTCATCGCCGTTGCTCACAATCATTCGTCGTCTTATCGATATCGATGGCAATGGAAACGGTTATGGCACCTCCGACTCTCTCAAACGTTCCAGCGTCACGTTTCGTCATTTCGTTCTCATGTTTCTCAATATTAACCGAGCGCAAACCGCCCCTTCCACTAACGTCGGATATTCTAAGCATAGCGCTGAGCGTGACGTCAAAGCCAAGTAGGAGGCGGTGGACCAGCGGCGCGATGACGAAAGGTTTTTTCGGAATTAAGTGCTGCCCGTCATCGTCAAAGGCCTCCCGTGAGGCGCGCCTAAGGTGGCAGCGAGCGAGCGAGCACTCAGCCATTGACGTCTGGCGAAAAACGCAGCGCCCTCCGATCGACCTAATTTCCCGCGGTGGTGGCGCGCGATTTTCGAAACCTAGCGCGCTCGCCCATTATTTTTACGTTGTCGCACACCACAAATAGAACGGCGTTTGCTAATTTTTGTAGTATTTTTAGCGGGCCGCTTTATTTTCAGAACTGCAGCCGATTATTCAATCCTAATGGTATAACGGCAATATTAAGATTAATCGTTAGAGTGCTCTTTTGCAATATCCCACGATCTTTGAATTTTAATTATTATTTTGATTGTTTTTCGGTGCGAACGGGTGGCGCTGACGAATTGCCTTACCCAATTGGCTCGAGGCCGCCGCTCTTCGTCCCTTATGATCAGTTAACAATCTAGTTAAGTAGTGCTAGTTAAGTAGTCACTTTTGTAAATAATCTCTCGCAAATAATAAAAGATTCGGACTTTCGATAATTAGGCTTAGGACGCGCGCATAAAGTGCCACGCGACCATGCATCGGCAATATCAACAGTTGGGGATTGATAGTAACGAATAGATTAAATTGATAGAATCGTGCCATTTTGCATTGTTCATTAGAGCGTAGCGCCAAATATATAGATATCGCGGCCGTTACATTAGCATCAAAATAACATTACAAGTATAGTCCGTTGTCGTAGTAATTCTTTAGCGCGCAATTTCATGAAAGACGCGCGGTTCGCCGGCCTCTCGTAATTGTCAGAAAATTCTCATTCCCTCGAGAAAAAAGTGCCGGTACGACGTGACAGTTAAAAAATAAAACTCGAACGATGCCGCCGATGCGAGAGGTGCGACCTGCCAATCAAACCCCGCAGATGACGATCGTAACCGTGGCCCACCTTTAGAAAATAGCGAGTGGACAAGCGGCGCTCGGACGAAAAATATGCCTCTCGTGTCACGGGCTGCGCGAACGTTGTGCAAGAGCCGTCCGTCCGCCTTCGGGACCCTCGGCCGAGGTGCATCACTCGCACGTTTCGAAAAAGCCTCTATTCCGAGCTCGCGTGGGTGCGCTGCGCGTCATTCGTCTTCCAGACTTCCTCGAGCAGCGGTCCTCGACCCCCCTCGAATTTTCCTATAATTACGCGGGTGCGCCGTCGCGGTTATGTATTTTTAACCTGGCCTACTTACTGGTCGCACGACGGGGGAGGGGAAGGGGGATGAGTTGGGGGAGAGTGCGGTGGGGGGTGGGGGGAGGGGGGGTCGGAGAGAACGGGTGACGCAAGGCAGGGGCGGTGGACGGGAGGGACTAGTGCATCGGCGAGAATGGGAGAGCGTCGACGTCTCCGAGAGCCGCCTCGAGGCTTATTGTCAAGCACTAGGATCTCGACTCGCCGAGATCCGCTAAGGTCACCGATCTCGAGCGTCTCCTATACGTATATATCTGTCCTAGTTCGGTGGATCCTGTTGGTCCGGAATTTGCGACTCGTCTTTTACCTCGTTCGGCCACTGCTGCTATCCTTTCCAAGATTCATCCTATGATCGATGCGTATAGACGGGGGAAGTGGCTCGGTAGGAAGAATTAAGACTTCTCTTTTGTTATTATGAATAATAGCGTCTCGAGCGAGCTCGTGCAATATATAAGTGTTTATCATTTCTCCAGCTCGCAGTCCTCGTTTTCGTAATATCGACTGTAATTCCAGTGAGTACGCGTATGGTCACCGAATGACAAGCTCGTCAGTTTGTGAATCCATAACGCTGATATATCATTATTCGTCAGCGCTAAGCATTTCGTACATTGTAATTGAATAATATTAGTGGTAATAATATTGCGTAACGCACGTTCGCAAAATTATAAAATTATTTAAATTATGCTCTAATAATTCATGATATTTTGGAAGTTGTGATAATTTGGATTTTTATTGCTTGTAAACGTCGTCGTATTACGTATTTATCGCTAACTAGACTCGCAATGCACAAGGACATATCTTTACAGCCAATATAAGTATAATGCCCGTTCTAAGAAAAATTTTGGCCATAAAAAAAAATGCGAGATTGGAACGTGGAGCGCACCACCCAAATGTCCACTAAAGACGAAGCAAAAAATGTTCTCTCGGACAAAGGACAGCGGCACATATTTTATTAACCCATTAAAATGAATAAGAAAGAAAAGGAGAAAAAGAAAGAAAGACATTGGTATCGGTCGGTTAGAGGGTAAAGTTAGGGAGGGAGTGAGCGAACGTACGTCGAGCAATTTTTATTTATAGTGGTGGCTCGATCGTATAGAAGTGGGCAAAGAGAGGAGAAAATGGAGAATCGCTGTTGAAGTAGGGCGAAGGGTAGATATGTAGATAGGTAGGTAGGTAGATAGGTGGGTGGATGGGTGGATGGGTGGATGGGTGGATGGATGGATGGTTGGGTGGGCGGGTGGGGGGGGGGGCGGGTGGGGAGGGAGATGAGGAATTATGCGCGGCAGGCGTGGCAAGCCTATAGTGAAACTATAGAGCCATTGTCGCCACGCGCGTATGCCATGCCTCCTTCGCTCCCGTGCATTTATGGGCAGCTTTTTTTAGTCTTTTTTTTTTTTTGCATTTCCTCTGCCATCATGTAGACAAAGGCGTTGAGTTTCGTAAGGGACAACTACTGCTGCGTGACTCGCAGAGCCGCGACGGCGAGCTCGCGCAAAAGCTCCCAGGTAGCGCGAACGCACCAAATGCCTTAACCCTTTGTTTCTCGGGATCTACGCCTTTTTCTTTCGCTGCGCCGCTTGAATCGTAGATGAGTTGGATCGTTGGATTGATGAGATTCTAAACACCTCCGCGGTCTAAGCCTGAATGCACGCGGGCCAATGAACTTTTAGCTCGAATCGCTGATGTATTCAATAACTGTACGCACGGATCTGTAAACAACGATTCGAGAGTCTGTGATTGTTATTACGATGATTATTATTATTATCATTATCATCATCATCATCATCATTATTATTATTATTATTATTACGATCATAATAATTATTGTTGTTATTGTTATTATGATAACTGATATTATAATTATTATTGTGGGAAGAAGAAGAAAAAAGTGGCAGCTTGTTATATTATGTTTTATGAAAGAAGGAGAAGAACAATTTTATGTGTATTAGCAGATATGGAAAGCGCGATAAGAACATTTTTTATTGATGGCTGCGCGGTGTATTATGTACGTTTTAAAAGAATCGATTGTCATAACAATAACGTAACGCCAAGACAATTATTGCACAATTTCCTTATTGAAATTTAATATGCATTCTCCAAACAACAAATATAATATTTTGTTTTTATTATTCCATTGTTTGGATCGAAAACGTCTTTTCATGATTACTCGTCGATGTAGGGAATAAAATATTCTAACCATCTTAGGTATTTTGGATAAATAAAATATGTGCTTCGTATATTTTAATGCACGAAGTTTGACGTAAGCGTTCGCGAGAAAAAAGATATACTCGAAATCACGAAATACTTAGTCACCATCGACAACGAAATCAGAGGGACCATGGGGTGGGGGCAAAGGGACTCGTTGAATACTCGTACAAATGCACATTACCGCGGCAAGTGTCTCTCCTCTCCTTCATTACAATGTCTTCGTGACGTAGAGCGAGAGTCCTGATCGCGTTTCAAGTTACGCCGTGGGGAACTCATCCGCGCATCATCAAGTGACTCACATCGAAAGGAAGGAATACTCAAAAGTGACCGCAGACCTGCCCAAGTCTCGCGCACAGTGTGCTTTAAATCCTCGGGACGTGCGTGCCTTTGATATACCTTGCATGTGTCCCTCTCTTTTTCTTTCCAACTTCTTACGAATCTTTTTTTTTCATTTTTCTTTTGCTCTCGCTGCATAGTCAGTTAGGCAGTCCAGTCTCCCTGCTTCAGTGGTTTTCCCATGGGCGCGTGACTCATGCGAGGAGCAACGAAAGAAAAACGAAATGCGCCAGACATGTGAAATCTTGGAAATAAAACAATCTCTCGCCGGATATATCGTAATCAAGTTTTATGCATAGGATGTTGACTCATACATTGTCCGTCCTTGTCCCCAGTATTATTAGCCTTACCGACTCTCTTAATCTCTCTCTCTCTCTCTCTCTGTTCTCTCTCTCTGCTCTCGCTCTCACTCTGACTCTCACTCTCACTCTCTCTCTCTCTCTCTCTCTCTCTCTCTCTCTGTCTGCTCTGCTCGGCTCTCTCTCACTCCCTCATATATACTTAATACTCAAATACACTTTCGTATTTTCAATTTATTTCATCTTCGAGTCTAAACTGTTTTATTTAGGGACATCTTCGTTATAAAGCTCGCGACGATTGGAAACGTCTTTTTACGAATGTTTAGAAGTTTTTGATTGCGAGGCCTAAAGTCCCCCACGACTGTTTATGTTTCAGGGAAGTGGCGGTAACACGGGTGGTGACGACTCCGATGAGGACACTCAGTGCGCGCTGAGTGAGAACTGGACGTTCGAGAAGAAGACGCGTCGGTGGTCACGTATCTGCGACATCACGGCCGGCAACGTCGAGCGGCTACAGGCGATAGCCGGGCAGCAGCGCACTGCCGGGGCGGAGGACGACGTTCTGGATGACCGTCTGGAGCAGGAGGAGGCCGAGGACACGATGCTCGATACGCTTCGTTACAGAAGCCTGCCGACGGGCCCCCTACCCGACGACATGGGTCCGCGGTTCCGGCGCACGGGTTCCGAGCGACTGCGCGATGGAGCCAAGGCCTTCCTCCGGCGCATGGAGTCGCTCAAGTCCCGAAGGAGGAAGCAGCAGCACCATCATAATCGAGACGGCGTAGTCATCAGCGGACCCCAGGTCCTCGATGTGCTATCCATGCAGCAGAAGATGAAGGACTTGAATTGCGTGGACGTCTCACCGACGGAGGGCTCGCCACCCATTTCCTTCGCCGATCTCTTACCACCGTCGCCTCTTCAGCTACCGCCCTCGCCCCTCACCTTACCAGCCTCGCCTTTCCACTTGCCACCATCGCCTTTGGCCAATGCTTCCAGCCCATTTGGAGACGATTCGTCGAGCTACTGCTCGGACGGCTCGCAGGGCGGCGGTCCAACCCCGACCCCCACCAGGACGAAGATGAATCGTGCCAGGAGGTTTTTACATCGCGGTGCTCGCGAGGATCAGGGTGCCTTGAGCGATTCCGAGTGCCAGCCCACCAGTTGGCGGCATCGTTACTTTAAGGATGCCAATAGTAATAACGCTAAGGTGTGATTATATATATATATATATATTATTTTTTTTATATGAATATATTGATTTAATAACGAGTCTGAACGTTAATAATGCCTGGACCTCTTAATCGAAACGACTCTAAGACTCACGTATGGACGTTTCTTATGTCATTGTATATTAAATTGTTAAAATATTCGTTACTCCGTTTCAGCGTATCACTAAGACTTGATTCTTTTGCACATTTACATTTCGTACATTTACCTTTTACTCTCGTTTGCCTTTTATAATTAACGAAATTTCCGTAACTGTCCGAATGACGTAGACAAAACGCGAACTAGAAATGGTTGCAATTATCTGGAGTCGTTACGAGAGAGAGAGAGAGAGATAGATAGAGAGAGAGAGAGAGAGAGAGAGAGAGATTAATAACTTGTTAGATATTTGATGAGCTGCAATCTCGAAATGCAATTTAATCTATTGAGGAAGACTGCCGAACCGAGCAAAGACAATCGGCCGCCGATGATTAATGAAAGAAGAGTAGCATTGTCGCGCAATTTAATTCATGCAGATAGATCGCTAAACTTTCGAAATTTCCGTCAATTTTCCGTATTATCACCTTGAGAATATTAATGAAAATATGCGAAAGAGAGAAAGGAGAACAATAACAAAGATAACACTCGCTCATTAAAATTTAGGTTCTGGAGTACGTGACGTCGAGTCCCAAGGATTCACCCACAAAGACCAATAATATCGTCGCTAGCGGTGCGATTAACACACGTGGAGGAAGTCTAAATCTTGGAAAGGAATCGCACCGGTATCGCGACAAGTTCTCGGTGACGAGCCACAAGGAAGACAAGGTGAGCGTTTTGAAGCGCGAGGAGAAGTTCCACAAAAGCTTTCGACACCACAGAAGTACGGAGCGCGAGCGTGGAACCGAGGAGCCCGTGAGAACGGAGAAGACCATTACGAAAGACGTGACCGTATATCGAGCGGATAAGTCAAGGACACGCCATCAGCCGGTGAACGAAACTGCCGGGAGCCAAGAGAGCAGTTCGACCGTGGCCAGCCGCGACTCCGACCAGGAGGAGGATTCGCCGAGGCACAAGGGCAACGTCGTCAGGTGGCACAGCTTCCAAAGGGGTTCGCTTTATCCTGAACCGCGGGATCCGCTATGCCCGAGGGCCATGGCCTCGATGTCTTGCGGCCAACTGCTCGTGCTGAGAAAGTTGGCTCTGCTTAAGCTGACAGCCTGCATGGAGCGTTATTGCCCGACGCACCGCACCGGCTGGAACTGGGAGCTGCCCAAGTTCATTAGGAAGATCAAGACGCCGGACTACAAGGACAAAACGGTTTTTGGTGTCCCGCTGCTGCTCTCCTTGCAGCGCACCGGCCAAGCCCTACCCAAGTGCATTCAGATAGCCTTGAGATGGCTGAGAGCCAATGCCTTGGATCAGGTGGGCATATTCAGGAAAAGTGGCGTTCGATCGCGCATCCAGAAGCTCAAGGCTATGACCGAGGTCCAGGGTGACAATATTAACTTCGACGGTCAGCAGGCGTTCGACGTGGCCGATCTTGTGAAGCAATACTTCAGGGAGTTGCCCGAAGCGCTGCTCACTAACAAATTATCCGAGACCTTCATCGCTATATTTCAACGTGAGTATGGCGGCGTCGTGCGGTATGCCTTGCTGTTGCTCGAATCTCCAATAATTCTGATGACATATCATTGTGAAGGACGATCGAGGACAACGATTGTCCTCGAGTGATTTCCTTAAGCCAATCTCGCTACTTACTTACTTTTTCTTGACAATTCAGTGAAAAACGTAAAAATTGCTCTAAACATTTCCACTTCCAATAGCAATAGCAATGGTGCTGCAGCTCTAATCGATTGATATAAGCCGAGGCGAAATCTATGGAGTTTAAAAATTAATAATATAATATTGTTGTTGTTGTTGCATGCAGACGTGCCGGTGGACCTCCGACCTGACGCTGTCCAATGCATTCTCCTGCTACTACCGGACGAGCATCGCGAGGCCTTGGAGACTCTCCTCGACTTCCTTAATCACGTGGCCAGCAACTCGCCCTATAATCAAATGACGGCATCGAATCTGGCGGTCTGTTTGGCGCCCAGCCTCTTCCACTTTAATCACAGTAACGCGAACGTGTCGAGCAACAGGTCGAACAGCGTGTCGCCACGCAGAAGGAAGACGGTTGGCATTCCAGATCAGCGCGAGCTCTCGGAGAATAAAGCGGCTCACGACTGCCTTCTATACCTTATTAAGACGCATCGTGAGCTATTTATGGTGAGTCCCAGCCAAGAGACATACACACAGAGAGAAAGAGAGAGGGAGAGAGAGAGAGAGAGAGAGAGAGAGAGACGGATTCGAGCAATGCGGAAGTTGTGTGTTGAGCAAAATATTTTTGCATCGATTTCTTTCACTGTACTCGGGGAGAGATTTCCATCGTCGCATACTTTTAATTCGTATGCTAAGGAAAAAGGGAATGAGAAGGGAGATCGAGTGAGACGGCTGAATTGTGCGATGAGACGGGATGGGGCAGGGAGGGGGAACGTCGACGACGACGAGGACGATGACGACGTCGACGTCGACGTAGAGGATCATTCGTTTCAGGGATATTGTATGGATGAAATTGTAGATTATATTGGGAAATTTTTCTTCTACCTTTTTGTCGTGGCCTGTGCTGCAACTTTCATACATTCATTTGCCTCTGTTGCCTCGTAATTTCAATAATGCAATTTTAATCGCATATAAATTAATGTTTTATATCTTGGTATTGAAAGAATTTTTACAATCAATTTCATGTCGCTCTTGAAATATAATTTATCACGTATGTCAAGTTTGATATCAGCATTTAATGAAAATATATTACAGCCATTAAATTTAAAGATTTTAATTATATGGGAAAAAGTATTATTTTAAAAACGCAATGTCAAGACATTTTTAATGACTGTTACTATAGTGAATTTCACATTTCGCTACTTAAGAAAATCATTATTAATTAAAAATTACGTTACGTTACTTTCCATAAGAATTATAATTTATTGTATTACGCGTCTCGGTTTCGATTTTATTTATTTACATAAATGCACTTGCGCTTAAAGTGGTATTTTCGTTATACGCAGCACTTGAAGAATCGACGAGCTTAAATTTAAAGAGAATCTTGTAAATACTGAATATATCGTTAAAATGCAAGAATTTCCACTTTGATGTGGAAAAAATGCGCGCACGAAGGATCGAATTTAATTTACTAATTTAATTTATTCACAATAATAAACTTAAGACTTAAAGATACAACGTTACCTTTATCCTTCAATTAATTTAAAGGTTTAATGTATTTCAGGTATCCTCAGATATGCTGACGCAATGTCACTTCAATTATATGGAAGAGAGTGTTCCAGTCCCGTTGGAAGAACTTGGATCGGAGCTCAAACAGGATTGGAGGGGATATTTGTATGCCTGTACCACGGCTCTGCTCAAGGAAGGTCGCGAAAAGTAAGAAAAAGTCACTTTATGGAAAAACTTGCCTCGTCAAACATCTTCCTCAAACTTAGTTAATTAGCCAATTGGCAAAATATGCGAAACGAATAACGTTCAAACAATATTTGTGACGAGTCTCCCTCCCGCCACCCAATCCCTTCCACCCTCCGCCGATTCCCACTTCTTCTTTTCTCTTCATTGCTTTTCTGATTTTCTCTATCGGTATACACTATCATTGCTCAATAACGTTATAATTTTTTTATCTTTGCATACCAATTTTGTACAATAACATCAACTATCCTGTATTACGCAATGGTATATTGTAATCCGAATACGCCTATTTCATTTCAAAAGTTTCAAAATTTGGAAACATGACATACCTGAAGTCAATCCTTAAAACTATAATGTCGTGTCAGCTAATCGGTTCACTATCTGATAGAGAAATTTAAGAAAAAATTAACTTTTGCAATAATAAATATAATCTGCCCGTACGTCGACCGAATACCGACGTCGTATACCGACGGTACCTCGAGAATTACATTATTCATTTGCCACCTACGACGTACATCCCTCATCGCCAACGGATGTGTATATATTACGTGACCTAAACATCCTCTACCGTCTACCCGTGAGGTCACAAGCGAATCCTCGTTCATCCCAGTATCAACGAAGCCACCTTCCCGTGATCTTGAAAGGCAAAGACTGCGGACGATCCGGTGGATCGCCATACACTCTCTCCCGGTCCTTGATAAACAATGTCCCCTTAATCAAACTAACTTATAATCGTCCTCGCATCCAAGCTTATATAAGGTTAATCGAGTGAATGCTCGTGTGTGTCGTTCAGAAGCCGCGGTTGGGTGTCGGTCAACAATCCGGCCGACGTCAGCGTCGACATGGCGTACAAGAAGGTCGGTGACGGTCATCCCTTGAGGCTTTGGCGTGTGACGACGGAGGTGGAAGCACCCCCGGAGGAGCTGCTCCATCGTGTGCTGCGCGAACGTCACATTTGGGATCCGCAGCTGCTGAAGTACAGACAGGTGGCGAAGCTCGAGGCGAGCGCCGAGGTCTTCCAGTACGCTACTGGAAATATGAGTCCCCTGCCGGCCAGGGACTACTGCGTCCTTAGGTACGACATCGTCCTCGACCCCTCCTTCCTGCAATGCTTGGCGCTCCAATCGTAATTGCGATAAAAACAGGCCAGGTCGCATCAGGTCTACTCGCCTGAGCAATTTGTCACCCAGTAATGCTCCAGCAATTCGTTGTTTCATATTGTTTAGTTGAGCTCGAGGAGTTTAGCCCTATTATGGTTGGGATGTGCATCTACGACCCTGGAATTCGGGACTCGTTTGGGAAGTTTGATGAGTATTACGGGAATTGTCGATAGTTGAGACAAAGTTACGTGCTAAACAAGAATGAGTCAATTATGGGCGGGTCGTCGGTCAGAAATATTTTATCGTTACAATATTTGAAGCAAGTTCATAATTTTGGTTATTATCCATGAAAATCCTTTTTGATTCACGGAAAAAGAGACATAAAAAAAAAACTTACTTAAACGTAAACACTTACTTATGGCTAACCTTTAATATTTAAAATAAAGTATTTGGGTGGGGGTGAGGGCATCTACACACAATGAATGACCAAAGAATCGAGTCCATCTTAGAATTATCGATCGTCAGTTACGTACGAAAAGCCCGTAATGCCAAAAGAGTCCAAAGTACCTGGATTAAAGAGCTCGAGCGACTCGAGCTTCCTCAAATACGAATCTAGCCGTGTATTCAAGCAATGCCGCGAATTTCAGGTCCTGGCAAACCGATCTCCCGAAGAAGGCGTGCGTCATAGTGGAGACGTCCGTGGAGCACCCGGATGCCCCGGTGATGCTCGGGGGCACCCGTGGCATCGTCCTGGCCTCGCGCTATCTCATCGAGCACTGCGGAAGCGGAAGGTCGCGTATCATGCATCTCTCCAGAGTCGACACAAAGTGAGTAATACTGCATTCTCTCCGTTCGCTCCGCAACTATAATTACTGATGATATCATTATTTTAACGCAGTGCATGGTCAAAGAAAAATTAACGCTAATAATACAACTGATATGGCAACAATCTCGAGCGCTATCACGTACGAGAGCATTTGATTGCAGAATAGCGTATTAATCGTACGGTTGATGGGCCAACATTGCCAATTAGCTAATACAAATGCGAGTTTGTTTTGTCGATTAAGTAAACTCACCGCGAATGTTTTTGTAAACAAAATTTTTATTTGATTACCGAGCACTGTATTCGATGTGGAGACGAAGGCTTGCTACTTACATCGTTTCTACGTTCTCGATTTTCTATTATTATGGTTAAGCAATAATAGTTTTAACATTTGCGCATTTTCAATTATAAAAAATACATCAATTTTTTCAATCTTTCAGTCTGATTATTTGTGATTATGGTTTAGAGACGAAATAAATCGACATCTGGTAATTGGTATCTACTTGACTATTAAGTGCCTAAGCCTGTTTATAAATTATCTGATAACTCGATCGAAATACTTTTTCTTTTTTTTTTTTTTGCTTTCCATTTCTGTTTCTTACTTTTTTTTCTTTTTTCTTCTTCTGAATTTAATTGACGTGAAGGATTGGGAGTTGCCCAACCCACCCTCTATACGTACTATGGCTTGTCTCGATCTCCGGGTATGTGCAATATAAACTTGGTAAATTTAATGGCTTAGGCCACTCCATCGGCGCTTTAATTTAAAATTATCTCGATAGATCAAGCAGCGAAAATATACTTTTAATTTCAAAACCGGTAAAGATAATTTTAAAAAATTTGTTCTCACCTTCAATCTCCGTGGCACTTTGCCGTGCAAGTTTCTTATTTTTTATTTTTTATTTAAGATTGTACATATCGAATGAGTTGCACTCGTTGCGTGCAACGTAAATAAACATTTGCCATTCGGTTTTATAATCATAAACGTTTCGCTCGCGCGCGCTTCGACTCTACTTTTCAAGTCCGCTTTTAGCGCAATATTGAATAAACTAATGATACGAAACGATATCCCGGGGTCGTTTTAATGAATGAGCCGCCAACGCCTATGACGAAATCCTGTAACCCCGAATTACGCCCTAACGATTTATTATTATAATACATTATTTCATTAAAGTCCACAACGACGCGAATCCATCGGCCGCTAATAATAATACGCACCGCTCTCTATTTATACTTGCGCTCGTATTCGCTTACGCTCGTTAATAAGATGGCTTTACAGTACAAATACACAATCTGGCCGACCATTTTATCCTCAAAATCGCTTCCATCACTAAATCCGCGTTGCAGCTGATCCAAGTTCCGCGTTTGTCGTACAATCGACGATTACGTAGTAACAACAGAGCAATTGAGACGTCAGGATAATTAATGTATCATACGTATTTGATTGTTATAGGGGTCGTACACCGGAGTGGTACAACAAGAGCTACGGCCACATCGCCGCCCTCCACCTCAGCAAGATCCGAAGCTCGTTCAAGCACATGACCGATGGCCCCGAGAGCAAAGTCTGAGATAAGGCCGCCGCGCAGCCGACGCAGCTGCGCGGTCAGCAGCGCCAGCAGCCGAACCCCGTCGCGGCCGCCCTCGCCACGGCCATCGACCAGATGTGCGAGGTGCAGACGAGTCAGGATCACCGGTTCCTGCGCGCCCCGGATGAGCCTTGAGTCCCGGGTGCGTCGGCCAGGCGCTTCTAATGCCGGGCAGTTGGTGAACGTCAGGATAATACTCGAGAGCTGAAGTGCGCGGGGTCTCTCATCTGCTTCTTTAGGTTTTCTTCCTCCTCCTCCTCCTCCTCCTCCTCCTCCTCCTCCTCCTCCTCCTCCTTCTCTTCCTTCTCCTTCTTCTCCTCCTTCTCTTTCCCGCCACCTCCCCCACTTCTTCTTCTTCTTCTTCTTCTTCTTCTTATGTCTTTCTCGACCAAGAGACTTTGATGACGAAGCTTATGTATAGTTTAGCGTTTGTGCAAGAAGATATTATAATCGTTTATATTTGTCAGTACGTCGGGGACTGTAGTGTGGTAGACCCGATCGCTGTAAATACGAGTCCTTTGTTACCTTTTGAATGTATATTCTATATTATGTATCGGGCATGTCGATACGCGAGTGATTACTTTTCTTACGAGATGCTTATCTTTATCGTTCGGACCAAATGTCGTTTCTTTCTTTCTCGTCTCTACTTTCATTATAATTATTACATGATAGTATATCGTATGTGTAATTGCATTTTAAAGTGAAACAAAAAATGTAATCTCTGTATTTCAATGATGTGAGCGTGGGAAGGGCGGGGCTGGGGAGGGGCACGAGAGGACGGAGATGATTAGCGTGAGAAATGGTAGAGTGCAAGTGCGTATGAGATAATATTAATTGAATAATCATGTAGCACAGATAATTAAATATCGTTCGGACTTCTCTCATTTTAAAAATATATTTTTGACAATGGAATATGTAGGTTCACCGATAAGGTGCTTCCGCGTACTAATGTACTAAAGGGTGAAAAAATATTAGCGTCAAACGTATATTTTTCATTTGGAAATAAACCAATCGATTGTTATAGCCCGAGCTTCTAAAGCTGTAAACACGATACCTGAATTAATTATAATGTTTAACAAATAGAATTCCGTGTTCCAAGAATTTCATATCATTCAAAGCTCAAAGTAAGTAAGCGTTGAATGAATTGGCAAAAAAATCTATTTTCCTTTTTTATGTAATTGTCAAAAAAAAAAAAAAAAAAAAAAAAAAAAAAAAAAAGTGTGCATATTAATAAAGAAAATCTTATTTCGCTGTTTATCGTTTAAAATTGCGAATATAATACTGATACATGAGCCAAAAATAATATGTATGATTCGCGTTGATACGAAAATTCATGAGTGTAACAAATTAATCGAAAAAAGCACTCCGTTACTTCCGTGTTTATTGAATGTTTTAAAATATATGTTGACCAATCAGAAACGTGTCTCTGTATTAAAAAAAAAGTCCTCAGTGTTTTTGAAGATGTTGATTGCCAATTGTTCTCGGACTAATCATCTTAAAAAAGTTTATCAATGTGAGACCAGATTAATTGGCCCAGAATCATATACGAAAAAAAAAAAAATAAATAAATAAAGAAAAAAAATTAATAAATGATATATATGCATATATTTTTATTTAACGCATCAATGAAATAATCATCATTATAATTCAATGCCCTAGAATTCGCTAAATGAATTATTGATGTATTTTAAGATAATGCTAGTCAAATTACACTTCGGCTGAGGAGGTACTCGTGGAAAAATAATAATTATTAATAATGATGAAAATGAAGAATAGCGCATTACTGGTACAACAATAAATGTGTAGATTCATATTCCATTATATTTCATATGTTATGAAAAAAAAAGTATAAAAATAAAACAATATATCGTCATATTTAAATATATGGTCCTTAGAAAGTTTTAAATGGGAGATGTTTCAAATGAAATGGAGCATGGACACAAAAGATCTAAGAAAAAAGTTTTATGTAAAAATATATTTTTCTGTGTCTAAGAGCCAGTAGATTTGCGAGATACGACGTGAAGATTACATGATGTATCACTATAGAGTTGTATATATGTATATTATAATAATAATATAATGACGAATACACACATGCGCGCACACATTTCACAAACTGGGGCGCGCATATACCCACAGAGCCCAGCGCACGCGTACGCATACATACGCATATATATATATATATATATATATATATATATACTACGTATGAACTTATATGTATGCATGCATATAAATATATGTACATGTATATATTCACTAAAATATATATTTTTTATTATTTTTTCTTTTCCCTACTTTACATTTACCAAAATTATTTTTAAATCAAAGCTGCAATTTCAAAATTCGTTAGACATGTGTCTCAGTCGTATATTAATTATAAATATTGTTTAATTTTCAATTCGAACAAAAAGTTATAAATTTTGAGATGTTATTATTCGTGTCAATGTTACTCAAATATATTTGTAGACAAAAATTCAATTATTCTAGAAATGATTTTACATTTACAAAAGAAATGCTGTATTTGAGTCACTATAATGTTATTTCCATGCAGTGCAAAGTTCAAATATAGCGCTTAAAACTATTAATTTGTATAAGATATAGAAATAATACTTTGTAATACTATAACGTAATTTATAATGAATTGTAAGTTGAATAAGTTAAATGTACAATTCAAAAGAAAATTATATTTTATGAAGAATAATATATTAAATATTTATTCTTGACAATTGTATAATTTTAATGTAAAGTTCAAGGAATAATAGCAAATAATATAAATAAATGTATATTTAAAAATGTATTTGTTAATAATATTCGTATCATGATTATATATTGAAATGCTACAATTGGTTTTTATTAAGTAATATTAACATGAAGTATTGAAAATTTTATCTTTATATTGTAATATACTGTTTAAAAATTGTTAAGAATCATTTGAAAGCAAATCGTAAATAAATTTTGAATGTTTTACTTACTTTACGTTTAAGTGCATGCTAAATAATATATACATATTCGTATGCTTTTGGATCGTTTTCAAATAGACTTAATCTACATTTTAAAATATCTATAATGTTATTACATTTATTCTATAGTACTTATTTCATTATCCTCGATAAAAAAAAAGAAAAAAATGAATAAATAACAGTTAAAATTGAAAAATCAACATTCTATCATTTTTTTTGTTTCTTGATAATAAATGATAAATAATTCATGGCTAATGTTATAGAGTATAAGTAATGATAAAATTACCATTTCGTCATTAATATAAAATATTTCACGTGGGATTATTGCCTTTAATTTTCTTAATAAGTTTCGTTGTTACGTATTTGTTTGGTCAATAGCACTGGTTACCAACGAGATATATTAGTCAGATTTTTGACCTCTTGAAGGCAGTATAGTATATCAGATCATTAGTATGCAAATATAAATAAATGAAGAGGTTATAATATTTATCGAATATCAATTGAGTAGTGGTAAAATAAATATAAACTTTCGAGAGGTGATACTATCGATGAAAATGGTGAGACTACACGTGAAGAAACTTTCGGAAAACCAATTTCTTTTCGATGCCAGCGTGGAATCAATGGTTGATGACATTATTCACGAGATAACTATCATACACAATGGTCGTTTGAAAGTATCCAGACTTTGTTATGGTATAACAGTAATTTGATATTATTAACTTAAATATTTTTATTCTCATAACTTTGGCTTTCAACGTTATTCTTCACTCTTCCAAATTATCTCTCTCTCTCTCTCTCTCTCTCTGTCTCTCTCTCTCTCTCTCTCTCTCTCTCTCTCTCTACCAACAACATAATTGCAATTGCTTTGATAAAAAACAATTATAAATCTGTATTGTTTATATTTTTCAATTGTGAAAAGCAACAACGATACTTGTTACTTCATGCTATTTATAATTAAACTAGACTTGGATGATTTAGCCAATCATGGAACAATGTTACCTCCAAATATGATTGGTTTAACCGACGAACAAGTAGAGGAGTTACATTTAAAAGATGAATGGGGCGATAAATGCATACCTTCGAGTGGATGGACCTTTAATAAAGATGTAATGGGTAAGATTAGTTTGAAACGTATTTAAGTGAATAATAGCTTTTTCTTCTACGTTTTTTTTTTTTTTTTTTTTTTTTTTGGCAAAAGGCAGTTTAAGGTAAATTTTCGGCTCAATTAATGTTAACGGGTAATTCGTGTTTTTATTGTTGTTTTTTTTTATTCTTTGTCTTTGATATCGATATTAAAAGAGTGCTTTTTATTGTTGATAAGTAATTTTATTTGGATTGCCTTAAATTTATTAAGCGATGATTCATTAAAACATTAAATGTGTAGTAATGGTTAGATCTAAGATTAATATACTACGGGAAAGATCACTTTTCTTTTGTTTTTATAATTTTGACCGTAAAGGACTCTTATTATAATCTTTAGGTCGTAGAAATGGCAGACAGCCTTCGGAAAATATGCAACATGTCATTAAAAAAGCTATAGAAGATGCTCGTGCAAAGATATCGAAGGTAAGATTGTTTTTTTTTTGGTTCCTTTATGAGAACTTATTCTCAAATCTATTTAAGCGAGTTTATATTTTATTCAGTTCAAAAGCAAATGCCAAAAGTATTCGATTATTTTATTTCATCATCGATATAACATATTACATATCCGGATAACTCAATATAATAATAAATCAATGGCTGTATCCTGAATTCTACAGCAGAATAAAATCAATTTCAAGAAGATAAATATAAATTACGAATATTTATTTACAATTATTTACGAATTATAACATCGAAAACTATGTTACTACTGTATGCACTCGGCTCAGATAGTATTTTTAAGCTTGTTTATACAATTTACATATACATTTACATTGACATTCCACTAAAAATTTTTCGTATTACTATCATCTTAGACGATTATGAAATTATAAAATAAAAAATAACATAATAAATAATTATGAAATAAGTCTTGAATGGCATCGGCTTTATCTATCTAAGTATTATCATTCTAATTTTATGCATTTACCATTAGAAATTAATAAACGAAGATAAATTAGTAACTCAAAAAGTTGTTCAAGAAGCTTTAGATATTTTACGTGGTGCCGTTATGATTGTTTACCCAATGGGTTTACCACCTCACGATGTAATTCGTCTGGAATTTGAAAATAACGAAGATCTTAGCGGCACTCATGCATCTCTCGAGGTAATAAGAATAATAATAATACTAAATTTCCAATAATTTTGTTATTTAGCTTGGTAACCAAGCGATGAATATACGTATTTGTAAAGGCTGATAAAGTTGATAAATTGCCTACGAATGTGTTTTATAAAGCGTAGTGACATCAAAATAGGCAATAAAATAGTTTCCTTATTTAAAACAAAAAAAAAAAAAAATGAAAACTGAAATGCCGTGAACTTGAAAATTTCTATCTTTTTGTCCATTCTTCTTCTTCTTCTTCTTCTTCTTCTTCTTCTTCTTCTTTTCTTTTACTACATATTTTTAAAATTCTTTCTTTTACTACATATTTTTAAACGACAATGCGCTTAACACGTAACTCATACGCATACTCAGGTGATTGATTTGCAAATGGCTCAATTGTGGTTCTCTGGAAAAGAGTTATTGCGCGGCAACAAGCTGCGAGATTTCGTTGGCAAAAACGAGAAGTCGAAGATAATTGTAAAGTTATCGAAGAGAGGCTCGGGGGCGCCTCCACGCGAGCCCGTCATTTCCGACGACGAACGCAAGCAGCTCATGTTGCTCGCCCACAGGCGCCAGGAGGAGCTGAAGGTAAGTGAAGCGCGACAGTTTTCTGCATGTCCGACCGATGGTGCTCAAGACGCACTTTTGCACAATCGCAATTTGTTCTTAAATTTCGAATTTGTCCGTTAATACTTTCTTGTAATCGATTTGTTCATTATCGTGGATTGAGTCGGATCGTCGCAGGGAGCATACAGGTAAGTGATTTATCTTTGATTATTTATATGTATATCGATAATGATGTCTATATATCAATTAAATTTATGAAATATTTCAATGAACGTGTTGAGGGGCATTTTTCATAGGTTCTATTCAAGGGTAATTTTACGATAAAATTCTAAGAATATTTACAAATTGACGAAAATATTGAGAATTTGCATTTATAGTATTAAACAAAAATTTATATATATTCTTGTTGTTTCTTAAGGCAGTGAAAGAGATAGAACAAGAATTTTCATTAATAGTAAAATATTATTATTATGATTTTACATTTACTGAGGGAAATACCTGCTAGTACTTCACCTGAATTATTATTCCAGGAAATTATTAACAGATGTAATTGCATAAAAAAAAGAAGAAAATGATTTTATTACTTTATACTTTAGTTAATTTTATCAAATCAATACAATAAAAGTAATATTGTTATGAATAGGAAACTTTATTTTTCTAAAAATTCAATTTAAAGAAATTATCTAACGTATGTATATTGTTTGTTGACATTGATTTTTTCCCCTTTTTTTTATTGGTGTTTAATCAATAAAATCAATGGAACCAGGAACTTTTCAACAAGTATCAAAATATATCTGTGGGTATAATAAAAATGCTATATAAATGATAATGGTGGAATATTTTAAAAGCAGCGAGAAAAAAACGTTACATTAAAAGTAATCATAATTCATGATCGTATAACAATATTAAAACATAATAAAATCTCTCATTATTACAAATATTATGATATTTGTGAAATAGTGATTGTTATGTAAAATGGTTTTATAATCTGTGTTTTTTTTTGTTTGTTTTTTTTTTTTTTTTTTTTACAAATATTGTAATTGATTATGTCTAACACACTTTAAGAAAAATAAAAATTCACTTGTTTCACAATATTTCGCTTAAACTTTTAATTTTACAAGAAAAACAAACTATGAAAATTATATACTCAAATGAAATATTTTTAATAATTTACAATACATTCATTCAAATGCAATTAAAATTTTGCAAATTTTTAAATAATTTTAATCTTAACAATATAATTTAATATGCTTAAAAACAAATTAATTAACGATGTAGTATAGATTAGAATTTTTATCGAAGTTAGATTGACAAATATATATTACATGCGCTGTACTTATATATGAATACTTTCCTTCAGCATTATTTTTTGCCGTATTTAAACTATTCTTAATATGTGGAATATATTTTTAAATATTTTCATATATTTAATTATTTGCTTGCGATAATAATCATTTACTATCCGATTTATTCAAGTTTATAAGCAAGAGAAAATGTTTCACTTTTATGATAAATTAATATATTTATGTTATTATGGTACATTTATTATTTTAAAAATTAAAAATTTAATAAAATCGTAGATTAGACGTAAAAATTCAAAAAAGTTAACTTTATCAATTATATGAAATTATTAAAGTCTAAAGGAATTAAGTATTTTTACAATTTCCTGTGGACTTAATATAAGTAAAATGAATATCATCTAAATTAATTTAAAATTTTATAAAAATTGCAAATCCATTAATTTATCAATTTCTATGGTTTAATTGAGTTATATAACTATTGTGAAGAGATCATTTGTGTAAAAATATAATTAAATAAAAATTAATTTTTCATACGGATTTTTAATGCATTTGTAATATCAATAATTAGATAGAGTTTATATTGATATCAATTATATACTTAATACAGTTAAATAATGTATTAAAGGAAGTGATAATAAATTACAAATAATAACGTTATTTATGAAAGATTCTAATATTATGCATTATGAGTGACGAAATCAATTCTTATTTAAAGTTAGCATAAATTTCTTTTTTAACTAATGGACATTTTAGTGATATTTTCTTAAACTTTAACTTTTCGATCGTTGTCATATTTATTCCTAATATTTAACATATTTAATGAAAACCCCAAATTTGAACGCAAAGACTTATTAATATGTCATATTTGTATTATCATTAGCTTTATAATTAATTTATTAAAATTTGTAACAATAACAGAGTTATAAAATAATAATATCCTTTTGATTGTACCAATAATTCTTAAAAACAAAATAATAATATATTTGAAAATAATTTAATTTAATTAAATATGTAACGGAAGAACATGATCATGCATTTACAGTATAATTATAGAACTTTCATAAATCAAAAACAATGATTATTACCGATAAAAAGATAATACATTCGTTTATTTAACAACTATTGTGGTTGTAATTGTTATAATAGTTATATATAATTGTAATTAAACCTATTGCATAAGCTTTCGTTTGATATGATTGCATTTAATTTTAAAAAAGTCTTACCATTGGCAAAATTAAATTACAATTAAAATTTATTTAAACTGCAAAGTAAATGTAATTAATCATACGTTATGTCCTAACAATTTTGATAAATTATTTTTGTGCCAAATAACATGATTAAGTTTTACCGAGGGATAGTGTTAAAATAATAACAGATTAATTTTCCAGAATCTAAAACATTATATAATTTTATGTGATAAATAGAATATCTAAAAGAGAATTATGATATACATTAGTTTTTAAAATACAAGAGTTTTTCAGATATATCTACTCCAAATTTATAATAAAACTGTTAACTTTAACTACGAAATTGATTAATTATTAGACTGATTTTCAAATAATTTAATAATAGACAATATTAAGGTATTATATTTATATATTTACTTTACTTATTTTATGAATGTTTGTTTTTATGACTTATGTAAATGTAGATAAATATTTCGGTTTTCAATTTTATTCTTTGACTAATTAGACAATTTTATCTAAGAATAAAATAAAATCACAGTTTCTATTTACTGTATTATATGAAATTCTATTCAAGCTTTATGATAAGTTTCTGATTGTTGTGAGTTTGTTTGTTTGATTTGTTTAATTTGTTCAAACGGAACACAAATGCTCTTGATATTTATCTTAATGTAAAATATATTTTCTTTTTATGTATGATAAATACTATATCTTTAATGAACTTTGTTTATAAAAGAAATTAATCAATAATTCAATCGTGTCTCTGGATTTCAACTATTATCATTGCCAACAAAATTGGCATTTGAATAATGTCTATCGACCAACTATTAATTTGCTCATTTGCTCAAAAATTAGTTTTAATTCAGATATATTAAATTAAGTATCTATTATTGAGTAATTACCGACATTTTTCATTTTCTCAGAGAAAACGGCAAGGACAACAGCTGTTGTCAAAAGTTTTATCTTATCCAAAATCTATTATTAGAGTTGATCTCCTCTTTGGTAATTCTAGGATCATGTTTGTATTAGCAGATAGAGTTCTTCAAATAAATTAACTAACAAAGATGTTTGACGCTAGTGAATAGTATTATATAAATGAGCAACGAATGCAATACATCCGAAAAGTAATTTAGAGGGCCTTGATCGGCGATAGTATCAGTGATTTATTACTCCATCAGTAAATTTTGACATTCGCATTGGTTCATTTTAGTTAGCTGTATAAACGTTAGCTCTTAAAATGTTATTTGAGCTTATCCTTAGAACTTTCTTGCTTGATCATCCAGTAGTATATATGAAATGCAAGGACGCATATAAAACGATAGTATATTTAATCTATAATTATTGTGAGCTAAAAAATAGTTTTCTTTTAACACATTAAAAGTAAAATAATTCCACATTAAATAAACATTAACAATAAATATTCAAGTTAAAACTTTAAACACAACAGTAACTTTTAATTATTAATTAGAATACAAAAATGAGCCGATCCGTTTCATTCAATAATAGAATATTTTATTTTTACCTTTTTTTTTGAAAATGTATCTGCGCATATATAAATATTATATAACAATTAGTATTTTTTACATGTGAACTACAAATATGATTATGGAAGACATGAATAGATACGTTTATAATGAGTATATTAATTTAATTTATTATAATTAAAATAATTCACGATTTTTTAATTTCTGAATATTTTATATTGACAAAATTAATTAATTTAATATTATTATATAAAGAGATATAAACAAGTTACATAACTATAAATATGAGTTTGTTCTTGTTATGTTAAGTGAATAATAGCAACAGATCCATTTCTTTCTTAAAATTTTATTTTCGTTTGAATTGTATACATATTATAAATTTAAATTATTTAATTCTTTAATCAGGCTATTTATTATTTATTCCAATATTATATACTAAAATCGGCATATATTAATTTATGTGATATTACTTTTCGTGTATTTTCGTTGGTCGGTTACAAAATGGTATTTTTTGTAACCCACACTTTTATTTATAAAAAATAAGTTGAATTCTATTTATATTTATCCACATTGACATTACTAGTACATCGATTTACAATGTAATTATTTATAATGCAATTCTGATATTAAATTTATTAATATTGATATTTTTTATTCGTAAGATGAAATTATTTTCAAGATATCTAAAAATATACTGCATTATGATAATATTATTGAAAAATTATAATTAAATACTAAATAAATATTTCATACCATGATAATACACCAAATCTCACTGAACAATAAATAATTAATACTTCAATAAATAATATTATATATAAAAATTAATTTAAACGATATTTACCTTAAGATTTGAAATACATAGAATTCTAAATATTTATTTGCATTTACTTTATGTATAATATAAATAAAATAAATATATATAATAAAAATTTATATTTATATTTAATGATTATTGAATGGAAACATAATGCAGAGAATATATAATCATTAAATTTCTTTTAATATGAATCTAGTCTTCCTTCTTAATGAAATTATTTCCATTAATGTGATATTATACTTTCTCTAATTTTACTATGAATTTTACTATACAATTTATTGAATCAAGTACGTGGCTCTAAAATAGTTTCCTTATTTTTGATTCTCAAGGGAATGTGCATTCGACTTTCGCTACCACTTGAGCTCGCACAGTCAGGTCAAAAATTTAATAAAGCATAAAGCTCGCAATCGATATTTATAACAACGAGTGTATGGCGAGAAAAATGAATTTCACTGTTAATAATGTGTCTAGTGTCACTGGCGCATACTTGTATAAAAATAATTGCATTCGGATAATTATGCATCTATTCCTTTTATAAAATTAATACTTGAATAATACTACTTATAAATGTATTAGATACAATTTCTCGAATAATATAAATTTATTCTATTATCATATAATAGCAGTATTCACTATCCTTATTTCTTCTCCACATTGGAATAATGCAGATTGACTTTATTGAGTATGCACATAAAGAAGGCAAATTCCAGATGCCAATTTAAATTTTATTGCATTAATTTATTTAAACTCGTCTCTATACCGTACTTCTGCTAAGTTTTACCAATTCAACAATTTAGTTTTCTTATAGAATTTTTCAAAATAAGGTTTACACATTAATGGTATTTTTCATTATATTTTAACCCAATTTATTCACAACGCCATATTCTATTTTATTATTTCCTCTATTTTAAATTCTTTAATATTAATATTACATTAATAATTGCAATAAATTAATTTAAATTTTGAAGAAATAATGCGTATACATATTTACAATAAGTAGTTTGATCATCTAGTTATATATTACAAAAGTAAATACAAATGCACAATGAAAAATATTGTTCGAGGTTAACAATTTTGAATTTTGTGAAAATCATCGTATTTCAATAGAAAGGCTACAAGGGATCAATCAAATATATATCTAAAATATTTAAATAAGGATAATAAAATCAAGATTATTTTTAAATAATTTATCTTTTTTAATCTTTTTTAAAAGGACAGCTTGTCTGGTATGTCAGCTAAAATTATTTGATGACTTACATTTATTTGATATTTTGCCTATATCATTTTCTCTTGCATATAACAATTTTGAATGATAAATTTTAAATATCGAATTTTTCATCTAGATTATTAAAATTCTCTAGATATCTCTAGATAGTTCTATAGATAGATATTAAGATTCTCTAGATTATTAAAATAGAATAACCATTCGCATATTATATTTATAGATATATTTATAGATATGATATATATTCCCTCAAACATTAATACAAAAGCTGCGCATATAAAGCCAAAAGATTATGTTTGCCAAAAACTAATTAATAGAATACAGGAAACAATAATAAAAAAACAATATAAATCAATGACTATCCAAACTAATGAATTAATATATAGAAAATGTTAAACAAAATAGAAACTGAGAGAATAAATTTACAAAAATGTTTATTTCATTAAAAGATTAAAATGAATTATGTACGTGTAATATATTAGTAATAATTTTCTCAATCAATATGTGTTTAATTGAAAAAACATTTACAATTTTAAATCCAATAAATAGTTATTTTAGACTAATATTTTACAACTAGATAGAAGAAAGTGATTAATGTATTTTTTATTAAAGCTTTTAATCGGTGAAGTGATTATATAATAGCATTCGAAAACAAATTTTAGTTTGTTTTGAATGTGATCGTTTTGATTATTTATTCTATAAATAATATATATTACTGAAAATTAAGTATATATTCTATTACTTTATTAGATAATTAGATAATTCAAGGAAACTATATAAAAGAAATCGGTCTCTTTCATGCATTGGCTTGACTAAAAATTTATTCAATCATGAATATTAACGAGAGGAGTTAGGACGTTACCTATATATTTTTGCGGATCAAATAAAAAGATTTGATTGTTAAGTAATTTGATTCGGTCCTAGGAAACAATGATTATTTATAATTAAGTCTTGAGCGAGAATTAAAATTATTCCATTTCGGTTTACCAACTTTTCCTCACTTTCTCCATATTTTCCGTAACTTTCAGTATTCTATCACTTTTTTAATCTCGTCTCATAAATAAAATTAAAAGGATTAATAAAATAATACAATCAAAAATTAGAGAATAATCTGGCGGATAATAACAAAAGAAGAAACTATAAATATATACGCGCGAAGCTAGAAAGCGTTAAAAGCTACGTGATCCTGACATACGTCAGTCGAATCTTAAACGCAATCACTTTCATGTAATTTAATGCATGAAAGTGGCATAACCTGTAGGGATAATAAATGGGCCAATTTATTATCTATTTACCAAATATAACTGTATTACAGAAAAAGTAATTAGTTTTTCTAATCTCATTTATTACCATATAAACGATGCCATACAATTGATAATATATGATACAGACAATATATTTTAATTCGCAAATTCATTGTTATATACAATATATTATGTATAAGTATAATATATAGGTTTGATTTACTAATGTTAAAAAAAAATTTATTAAAATAATATTAAATATTACTGATTTACCAATCATTTGGTAATGGTCTTCAAAAGTTTATTAATTTTTTTTGCTAAAATAATTTTTGCTCAATTGTTACAAGAGAAAAAAATAAGAGCAAATAGACAAGCTTTTTTTAAAAATTGCAACATATATGTTTAAATAAATTTCTATGCATGTACTAATGTATATGCATTTATTATTAATTTAGTTATTATAAATATAAAATATATTTATTAATGTATTTAATAAAAAATAATAATGAAAGATATGTCAAAAAGGACAATAGTAGGCAATAGTAGAGATATGAATATACTGCAAAATATATATTTATAATCTAATGCAAAATTTATATCGTACATATATGCGTTCGTGTGCGCGCGCGCGCGCGTGTGCCTAAGTAACATCAATTCCTTCGATAAACCCATAATATATGGTGTTGATAAATTGTAATGTCAACGAATCAATAATATTTGATATTTATAAAATAAATTTTGTAGATTTCGAAAGTTATCACATTAATAAAACATATCTATAATCAATAATGTTAAACTATAAAAATATAGTTTGTAATGTTTTCTGATTTTTAAGTAAATACAGTTATATCTTTAGTGAAAAATATATATTCATAAATAAAATATAAAAATAAATAAATATTAATTATAAGTAATTAAATATAAAGCCATTCGTTTTATACGTTGTATATGAAGCAAAGCTTTAATATTTTCCAATGAAATACTTGAAGATAATTTTATCAATTTAATTAATAAAATTTTTACTTGTTAAATATTTTTACTGCATAAGTATTGAGATCTTTTCTAAAATGATTCAAAAAAATTTTATTCAAAATTTAAATTACAATTAATGCATAAAACAATTAATTTTTTTGAAACATAAAATTGTTCATTAGAATGTTGACTAAGAACTACGAATGAGGAGAAATGTAATGGTAATGTGACACACCTGACGAAACTTGATGGCATTGCAAAGGGGAAAGCACTAGAAAGATTCGTAATTAAAGAAGGTAGGGTCGCAACA